ATAAAGGTAAAATAAAGGATTTTATTTTTCTTATTCTTAATTGACCTCATAGATAACTTTTGTTCAGAGTGTTAATAGAAATAACGTGTTGGGTGACTACAGTTTAGAAATAAGAAAAATGAATGACAGAAATGTTATATAAGGGTCGAGAGGGAGGAATTCGGATCACTTCATTAAAAGGAGCCTGCATTATTTGAGAAGATATGTGGTGTTATTTGAAAACGAACTTGGATTAGTTGTAAATGTATGTTGCAAACTGGCAACCACCAAAGTTTTTTAAATGAAGTATAATTGACATGCTAAATGAAGAGAAAATTGGAATTATGTAAAATGCTCAATAAACCCGAGAAGGCAGAAAAAGAATGGAAGACAGGACACCAAGAACAAAGTCGATAAATAGAAAAGTTACAGACGCAGAACGTATTATTCCAGCTACGTCAATAGTTACTTTAAACATGAATGGTCTGAATATACCAATTAAGAGACAGGCCGTCAGAGAAAAAGCAAGACCCAGCTGTGTGCTGTTTACTGGAAACCCACTTAAAATACGTGCAGACACACGGAGATTGAAGGAGGGGGCGGAGGAAGATGGACCTCGACTCCAACCCGCAGGGAGCAGGCGCGACCACATTCACTTCAGACCGAGCAGAGTTCAGACCCCGGGAAGTTACGGAACGAAAAGGGCGTTGCCTGGCGACAAGCGCTCAGTTCTCTAGGAAGACGTAACAGTCCTTGATGTGTGTGCACCTAACAACAGAGCGTCAAAACGCACGAGGCGAAAACCGAGACTGGCAAGGGAGACGGGCGAGTGCACCACAGCCGGCGGCGATTTCAGCACCCCGGCAGGAGTGGACAGATCCAGGGTGAGGACGCGGCTGCGCTCAACGGCACCACAGTCCCCTGGATCTAGGTGACACTCAGACTATTTCATCAGCGTCGGGCAGAACGCATGCTTCTCGAGCTCACACGGAGCACGCGCCAAGACAGACCGCATTCTGGGCCATGAAACACGTCTCAGTGCGTCGAAAGCTGCACGCTAAGGATGCTCTCAGACGCGGTGGGAGCAGGCTGGAAATCAACGACAGAAAGATAAAGGGGACACCCCAAAACACTCGGATGTTAAAGGACACACCCCTAAGTAATAACGCATGGGCCGAAGAAGAAATCTCAAGGAATTTGTATATTTTGAACTAAATGAAAATGGAAGCACAGCTTCCCCAAAATTTTAGGATGTAGCGAAAGCAGTGAGTTCGTAGTAGCAAATTCATACGTTAGAAAAAAGTAAGATATAATATCAACAATTTCAGCTTCTGCCTTAGGAAACTAGAAAAAGAGCTATTTAAATCCAAAGTAAGCATAAGGAAAGAAATACCAAAAACTGGAGCATAATTCAATGAAGTTGAAAACAGAGCTCAATAGAGAAAATCAATGAAGCCAAAAGTTGGTTCTTTGAAAAGGTCAATAAAATTGATAAACATCTAGCCAGGCAAACCAAACAAAAAGACGAAGGGGACAAATTACTAATGTTAGAAATGACATCGGAGCCATGACAACTTCCTGTGGACGTTAGGGGTAATGAAGGTAGAGTATGAACCGTCTGTGCCTATAAATTCCTTCAAAGATACAACCCACCAAAACCCGTACAAGGAGGACTAGATAACCTGAATTCCTTCATCATTGAAGGAATTCAATCAGTAACTAGTAACCTTCTGAAAAAGAAAGCATCAGGCCCCGACGGGTGCACGGGTGGATCCTACGAAATATTCAAGGAGGACGTCACACCAGTTCTCTGCAGTCTCTTCCAGAAAACAGAAGCACAGGGCGCTCATCTTATGAGGCCGGCACCACCAGACCAGCAGCGCTAAAGCCAGATGAAGACGTCACAGGGACGGAAAACGACAGCCCAGCGTCTCCCGTGACCGGAAAACATAAACCTTCTAAACGTAATACGAACGACGAATCCAGCAGTGTGTGAGAAAAAATTATACAGCACAGCCACATGGATCCATTCCAGACATACAAGGCTGAGCCAACACCGAAAATCAGTGCCTGCCCCATCACGTCAACAGGCTAAAGAAGGGTCACACGTACGTATCGAGAGATGCAGAAGAAGCAGTTTGACGAAGTCCAGCACATTCATGCTAAAAACTTTCAGCAAACAAGTAATGGAAGAGCACTTCCTCGACGTGAGAGAGAAAGCCCCAGACACCTCCAGACACCTCCAGCTGACGTGAGACGTCACAGGGAGGGACAGCTGCTGCCCCCGAGACCAGGGACGAGGCAGGCCCCCCATCCAGCCTGCAGCCCCACACGGGTCATCTCGGCTCGCGCAGAAAAGCAGGAAAGTGAAACAAAAGGGGTGTTGACCGGCGGGAGGGAAGGAGGCGTCTCAGCCTCGGACCACGTGATTGCCCGTGTCGACAATCCCGAAGAGTCGACAGCGACAGAAGCGGAGACCGGTTAGCGAGGTCGTGGGACGCCAGGTTGATGTGCAGTAGTCAGCAGCTTGCCTGCGTGCCAGCAATGGGCATTGGAGTTCGAAACTAACATCAGCACAGACGAAAAAGAACTTAGGAGCCTGACAAAATATATACGAGATCAGTGAGGACCACAAAACTCTGATGAAAGAGACAGAGATCTGAATGAATGCAGTCCACGTTCATGCATGGGAGACTTGGTGCTGTCAAGGTGTCCGTTCTTCCTGACGATCTGTAGGTCCAAGGCGACCCCACTCAGAACCCCAGCAAGCTCTGTTCTGTGGCTGTCTGTCCTGGGGGTGTCTGTTCTGTGGCTGTCTGTCCTGGGGGCATCTGTCCAGTGAGTGTCCATCCTGGGTGCATCTGTTCTGTGGGCGTGTGCCCGGTGTCAGCCGTCCGCCTGCCTCAGGAGGCAGGGTGGGCTGTGTCTGTGACGGGGCCGGTCCCTCTTCGACCTCCCTGCGGTGATGGCTGTGCAGGCTGGTGTTTGGCCAGCACTGTCCCTCTGTGGAGATGGGTGGGGGTCGCAGCGAGTGCCTCGGTGATTCAGTGCCCCTCCGCACCATGCTCAGTCGCAAACGGGTGTGGCGGATGGGGTCCTGGCCGTGTGGTGCCACAGCCTGTGCCTCCTGCCCGCCTCCCTCTGATGGGCCTTCAGAGGTGACAGCGATTGGCAAGGGGGTCTCAGGGACCAGCTGTAGAACCAAACACACTAAAGCCCCTTGGCGCATTGGCATTGTGGTTTGGGGCCAGGTCAGGGGAAGCAGTGGGTGTGGTGAGCCCCACAGCTTTGCAGCTGAGGGGCTGCTCTGTGTCACGTGTTGTGCTCTCTGTCCCCTGAGCCCCAGGGAAGGCTCCAAGCTCAGCCCCCCAGAGTCCCCTCCCTGTAGCGCTTTGCTTTGGCCTTAGGTTCACCCTGCACCCAGTGCCCGGTGGCGGGGCTGGTGCCCCATCCCCAGACATTGCTCCTTCCGTGACAGGCCGGTGGGTCTGTGCGTGGATGGCACTCGAGAGACCACAGATCCGTGCAGCTCGTGGGACAGAGCATGACCCCTCAGGTGCTCTGACAGCACACGCGTCATGCTGGCCCCCAGGAATGTCCTGAGAGCCCAGGAGCACCCCCCCTCCGCGTCACGTGTTCCTGGCCCCAGTAGGCGAACATGTGACGGGGCTGGCCGCGGTTGGCCGCCGTCTGGACTGGGGAGCCCCAGCGGCGGTCTCTGCAGGCCCATGTGCTGCCCAGGCTACCCTAGGCGTCACCTCACGGAGGGCTCACAGCCCCTGAGGTTCCCACCATGGGTGTGGGGACACTGTCCTGGGAAGAGACAGCCCCAGGCCCCATCTGGGGCGTCTGCCCGGTGAGGGGGAGGCATCCAGTGAGGTGACGGCCGGCTCTGGCAGCAAGTGTCCAGCGTCCCCTCTGTCCGCGTCACACAACAGCTCTTCCGTGGGCGTGAGCCGTGCAGGCGGGGCGTGGGGAGAGGTCCCGCAGCCCTTCCGCACCTTCACGGTTTCACTGCGGCCCGCTGGACGGGGCATGGGACGTGGCGATCACAGCATTGTCCTGTCCTGCTCTTTTCCAGCTAAGAAGTACAGGAAGGTCACGGGCAAGGAGATCTACTCAGACACGCTGGAGAGCACGCCCATGCTGGAGAAGGAGAAGTTCCCGCAGGACTACTTCCCCGAGGTGCGTCACCGTCACCGCGGCCGCCTCCACGAGGCCGCATGCTCTCGTGCGTCAGGGGCACGCGGGCCCCGTGCTCACGGCGGGGAGCACGGCTGGTGGCGGGCGCGGGAGTGTGTGGCTCGGTGAGGGCGGGAGCAGGCGGGGTTGATCCTGCGTCCGGCCCAGTGGCAAGTCCGCGACTGTTTCCAGGGAGAGGCGCTGTGCCCTGGAGCGCTCTGGCCGCCTCCACACCCGGGCTGCGTGGCCGAGCCGTCTGGTGTGGGGGGCTGTGCGCTCGGCAGCTTCGTCCCCGGGGTGCTCGGGGGGCCTCTGGCCGGCGGCTCACAGAGGAAGCCGCGGGGCGTGGCCAGCGCGCAGCTCGGCGGGAAGCCTGGTGCCCGCGTCCACCACGCATGCCGCAAAGAAGGTGCTGCTTCGCCAGCGCCCGGAACTCGGGGAGGGCGCGGGCCTCGGAGAACGTGGCTGTTTCCGTTGGTCTAGCTGCGCTTTTGTGTGGGATTCTTTGCGCACTGTGCCCGTGACTTGGACCCCGGGACGTTTTAGTGAACGGCAGAACCCGCACTTCTGGAGTTTCCTAGTCCTTTGTGATTACCGTGGGGGCCCCGAGCTGGCCACGCCGTCCCGTGCTGTCTGCCAAACCACAGTCACACAGGAGGGACACTGTGACTGAGGCACGCAGGTGGCGGAGTTGGAGGCCCGGGCGGCTGTCCCCGCCAGCCGCGGTCACGCGCCCGAGCGGCCTGCCTCCCGTGCCGGCGTCGTGCTCAGCCATGAGAAGGATTGTGCCCTGGTCCTTGCTGCTCAGCAGGTGCCCCGCCTGTTCTCAGAGCCGATGCTCAGCAAGGTCACAACTTTATGAACTGGCTTTATGGCCCGAGCCCGGAGCGGAGGCACTGTAGCCCCGGGAAGGCTGGGCACCTCTGTCATGCTGGGGTACGGCTTCCTCGTCCATTGTCCCCGACCGAGGACTCAGTGTCAGGGAGCTGGCCTCCTGTCCTGGCTGCCCTTGGCTCTCCTCTGGCCCCGCTCTCCATGAGCTTAGAGGAGCAGTGCCCAGAAAGCTCTGGAAGCTTCCGTTCCCACCCCGCACGAGCGCAGCCACGTCTCAACCCGGGTGGGCCTCCCGGACGATGGCGTGTGGCGTGCTGTGCGGAGGTCGGGGCCGGGGTTCTCCTGGAGATGGCAGGGCTGAGAAGTCGGTGTCGGAGCCCAGTTATGGCCAAGCACCAGCCCCTGCCCACCCAGACCCACCCTGGCTCGCCCACCAGCCACGAGGCAGGGACCCAGGGCCAGCAGTGGAGGACCGGGCACCTTCACAGAGAGAGCCAGCTTACGGTCCTCGGGGACAGTTGGGGACTGCCCGGGTCCTGGCCCCCCATGGCCGCGCCCCAGTGCCCCCCTGTGAGAAGTCTCCAGCACTACTGGCCGTGCCTGATGGGGCTGGAAACCTGGGCTCGGCCCAGCTCTTCACTCGTCGTTTAGGTCCAGTGCCAGCCCAGCAAGGCCAGCGTCCCACCCAGCACCGAGGCAGCGAGGGCCTCAGTCACCACGAGGGGTCACCCTGTGGCAGGAGGGCAGGCCCAGCAGGGTGGCCGCAAGGCTGGGGCTGGGCAGCCAGGCCCGGCTGGTGAGCCTGCAAGGCAGGGGAACAGTGCTGGGCACGGGCCGCTGGTGACGGTCCCAGGGCCGGTGTGGGGTGACTCCCCCTTTAACTGCCGCTTTCAAGGCTCGAGCTGTTGCCAATGACCCCAGACTGGGGCGGGGGGGACCTGGACTCAGCCCTCCCTCCCTGGACGCCCCACACGCTGAGCCCCACAGGCCAGACACACCCGATGTGGCCCTCGTCACCCCAGGAACTCGCAGGGTCCCTCACCCTCTCACCACTCACTGGCGACCCCAGAATTTTGGCCTTTGGTCTTCTCACTGCATCTCATCCTCAGAGGTGGGGTCACCAGAGGCGCCCAGCGTCTGTTGGCTGTGAGCGATGACGCTCTCTAAAGAAGAGGCTTCAGTGACGGCCACCAGGTCCTTTGGGGGGTGGGGAGCTGGGGCGACACGTGGACGGCCCCCACGGAGGAGCGAGTTTCCTCGGGACACAGGACCCCCTGACAGGCTCGCTGCCCCAGGGCCCAGCACGTGGGGCCACGGCGTCTTCCCCCCACTGCCCGGTGGCTGGGGCCTCAGCCCTGGCACCCCCTCCCTGCTCACCCCTCAGACAGGGCAGACACGGTGGCGGGGCGGGACATGGCCCCCGGCCTTGCTGCCCGCGGCTGGCGCACTGTCCCCCTGAGGTGCCGAGGTGGCCCCGTGGGACAGACAATGAGGGGCCACCCCCCTGCCCTGGGTCCAAGCCCTAGCTGGCGGTCAGCAGACCTGGCCCCAGGGTGACCGCCACACGCGGCGTCGGCCTTGGCCATCATCGGTCCCTCCGCTGCCACGTCAGAAGTGGTCTCGGGGTCAGTCCGTGAGATTCCAGGACGTGAGTCTCTGCCAGGGGACCAAGGGCGGTCCCTGGCCCGCGGAGGCCCCTTCGGTTCGGTGGCACGTCCCAGGCCCCCGGCGCCCTCTGTCTTCACCAGAAGGCGGCTACCGGCGGGCGGGGCTCCCGGCGCCACCGTGTTCTGCCTCAGGCCAGTGGCTCGGCTTTATCCGAAGGCTGGGGGAGGGAATTAGTTCAAGACGGATTTCCCTTTCTTTTATTGCCGCCACTTAAGGGTAATCTAAGTGTAATTACCGTGATGGAGGCGATCCCAAATAATTACGGCCCAGTGCATAGAAAACTAACAAAACTTTCCCTGCTGATTTACGGTCGCTTTTGGCTCAGCATGGGTTTCAAATGCCGCCTCTGGGAGCGGCACTCCAGATAACGTGAGGCCATTTTTAAAAAGCAGATTTGTGCAGTCGATCAGGGCCGAGACAGTTTTTTCCTCTCGCCTGTAGTGAGGAATTGGTTGTTCGCATAGATCACTGGACTGCCCCAGACGCTTATGAAAGATGAATTAATTTCGCTAATGCTCCAGCGCGGGCCTTTCCCGGGGAAGGCTGTGCGGGGGGACCCTCCCCGCAGCCCTCCGTCCTCGCCGGTGATTTATGCTGTCTCTCAGTAGATGAAGCCGTCTGCGTTCGCCATCCATCTGCTGGCTAAAGGAACTGTTGCGGGGGTCTGAGCAGAGACTTCATGCTGTAAGGGGGACGACGAGGCGGCCCCCGCTGCGTGACGTGGCTTTTCCATGGTGACAGCCTCTAAGAGCCAGGGCGACCGCCCCGCCACACTGTCCCCCGTCCACCATGGCCTGGCGTCCTTGACAGAGTTTCAGAAGGGGCCAGTGGCCAGAAAGCCCAGAGTGCGGGAATAGAGCGACCGATCCGGCATTTGCACACACACGCGCACACACACGCGCACACACGCGCACACTCCACGGCTGCCCTGCGCAGCTTCCGGGGTCGGTCTGCAGCCTGCCCGGGGGAGGGGGGCCGGGCAAGAGCACCGGTCGGCGGCCTGTATCCGGTCCGGTTCCTCTCACGCCTTCGGCTGCCCCGCGGGCCGGCGTGAGGGCTGAGCGCGTCCGCATCCTGCGGGGACGCTGTGCCCAGCGCCTCCTGCGGTCAGTGCAGGTAACAGGAGCGAACCAGGTGTGCTCAGCACCATGACTACGGGATTCACCTAGAACGTAGCCACCACAGACGGCGTTGGGGTGGGCAGTGGTCACCTTCACAGTGACCTTGAGTGCTCTGGGCAGAGGGCTGATTGGGAGGGCGCTGCTGTGAGGGCCGGTGGCGGTGGACGTTGCTCGTGAAGTCCCGTGATTGGGGGAAGGAAGGAAAATGAGCCGGCGGGCAGCTCGCGGGGCCTGGGGAGGGGCTGGGAAGATGGGTCCCCTCCCACCCCCGCGCTCGCGGGCTGCCTGCTCGACGGGTGGCACCCAGCGTGTTTCTGATTGACAGGCACCTGGGCCGATGGTGAGTCGGTCTCTCTCCTCTCCAGCTCCTCACCTGTGTGACCGGTTTGTTTTTCAGTGCAAATGGTCGAGGAAAGGCTTCGTGCGGACCAGGTGGAGCGTTGGGGACTGGTAGGTGTGCTGCGTCCACTGCTTCATGTGTCCTCACGCTTGCCCCTCTGCGTGTCGCACGGGGGTGTGTGCGGACGGGCCCATCGAAGGCCATGTGCCTTGAACCCCCGTTCTGTGACCCTTTCTGGTCTCGGTGACGCCGTGTGACCCGGAGCGTTGTCCCCGGGTGCCCGTGAGCGCAGCGTCCAGGTGTCGAAGGCCCAGGGCCACTGCCCCGCCCCTGGCGGCCCCTTCCTCGGTGGGCCCGCAGCCCACCGCTGCCTGCAGCCTATTCTGGGGGCGTCGGGCGCAGCCCGCTGTCCCTTGGCCCCTCGGGCCCGGCCTCCCTGCAGCATCTGCGTCCCCACGTCGTCCCGACTCGCTCTGTCTCCACAGCAAGGTCCTGGAAGGGCACATGTGTCACCTCAAACGGGCCTCGTGCCACTGGCGGGCTTGTCCAGGCGGAGGGAGCGAGGACTGTGGCCCGTCCCTGTCATCGGGGGACAGGGAGCTGGTGACAGGCTCTGCAGCCTGTGCCCCGACCCAAGCCCGGACTGCCTGTCACGGTGCCCCAGCCAGGGTGGGGGCTGTAGAGCTGCCGGGCCCTGAGTCGTGGGGCCCCCCGGGTTTGGCTGTCCTAAAGCCTGGACAGAGCTTGCGGTCTAACCCAGGAAGCATCAGGCCACCACTTCTGGCCTTGCCGGGGTCACACAGTATGGGCACTAGAAAGCAGGGCGCTTAGGGTCACCATGAGGCTGCAAGACTGGCTTGTCCTTCCCCTCTGCTGCATGGTCAGTGGTGTCTCACTGGGCTTGGGGTCCGCGGGTTCCCACTCTGTAGATGACACGTGCTTACCCGCCCACCGCCCTCACTGAGGTGGGCTCGGCACAGCAATGCCAAGGGGCTCTCAAGGTGGACAGGCTGACCGCACGGCCTCCCGTCCTCGCCACAGCCCTGTGGACACTGAGGTCACCGGGCGTTTCCGCAGGGCGGTGGGCACTGCGCGCAATGGGCCTCAGGCGGCATCTGCCCGGCCCCCTGCTGGCTGGGGGCACCGAGGCCTCCGCCACCCTCCTGGTCTGGCTGGCCACCTGAGGAATGTCTCTGTGGCCGAGTGTCCGTCCCGGTCTCTAACAGGAAGCTCCAGTTGGCCAGAGTAACCGGCTGCCATTGCAGTGACGTTTGAGGGTGGCACTCGGGTCTCGCACGTCCTCTGAGCAGGTGGGGCCTGTGCTCTGCGTCAGCCCAGGGCTGCCGAGGACAGGGACACAGGTGCAGGTGGCTCTGCCCGCTGGCAACCCCTGGAAACCCTGACCAGGCCTTGCTCCACGTCCCCCAAAAACCCAGGCCGGAACAGCATGGGCGCCCGCTGTCCCACGGCTTCAGCCCTTTGTCACCGAGTGTCCTTTCTGTCTCTGCAGCGCCTTCGACCTGGTGAACATCCACCTTTTCCATGACGCTTCCAACCTGGTCGCTTGGGAGACCAGCCCCTCGGTGTACGCGGGGATCCGGCACAAGGCCCTGGGCTACGTGCTCGACAGGTAGGTGCCGAGCGCCCCGCACCGCCACCCGGGAGCCTC